TCAAGGTAATAAAAAATCTGATGAACAGTATTAACTGGTGAATAAAATAGAATCAGGGGCATAGAAAGGGAGTGGACTGAGAATTCTCAGGGAGAAAGTGAAGTGGGGGGTGTGGGAAGAGACTGAACAAAAAGCATACACACCTATGGATGTGTATAGTGGGGAGGATAAGGACAGAGGGTAGGATAGGAACCTGGTGGAGGGGAGACATGGGGTGGAAAAAGAGAGACAATTGTAATAATCTGAAGAATAAATATTTATTAAATTAAAAAATAATTTAAAAAACTGAAGCAAAGTGCTTTTGTGATGAAAACACACACCCATATTTATCTAGTAGTCGTTGAAAAATAAAAGCAATCTTCTCGCCAAAGTACAAATCCTTCTGCATAAAAATAATTACTAACAACTGAAACAACCCTCCCCCCCTCTTTTTCAAAATTGTTGTGCTTATTTGAACTTGCAGAGCAGCAGTTTAAAAACATCCACATCTGTCATGCAGAGGTCTTAGAAGGCTCATAGAGTTCATGGATGCTTTTTGTTAGAAGGGTCATAGATATTTAAGAGACCACTAAAATGTTAAATTAAACTTCTCCCAGGTTGTCAAGCACATAGTTTTCTCTTACAACCAGATTCCTTTTACCCTTGTTAGTTTAGAATCAGTTATTTGAGATAACGGAAAACTGTATCTGTTTGAGGCTTATGGGACTACATCTGGAATGTGGGAGTCAGGCAGCATAATCCAATTTTCTGGATTGAGCTCAGCACAGGGCAAGCAACACTTCTTTCAAACTCTGAAAGAGAGAAAACCATTCATCTAGTTCTTCCCCAATAATGCCATAAAACTGGTTTTAAATTTACCCATTTTCCTCTATGCTTGGAGGCTTCTCCTCACAGCAGCAAAGGCAAAAAAAAACTCTGCAGTGAAGGAAATGTCCTATGTCTGTGCCATTTGGTGTGGTAGCTACCAGCCATAGATGGCTATTAAGCACTCGACATATAGCCAAGTGCAATTGATGGACTGAATCTTTATTTAATTTAATTTAAAGGATTTGTGGTTGCTATTTGGATAATATACTCTTACAGTTGTTTACTTTTGGTCAGTTAAGAAAATATTGTTCTCCTCAGAAACAGTTTTGTTTTTGTTTTTGGTTTTTTTTTGAGAAATTATAATTCTTATCCCAAAATGAAGAAGGGTAATCTAAGCAGTTATTAAAATGTAACAAATTTTTCTTTAATCTCTATATAGTTTAACTAGAGGCCTGGTGAATGAAATTCGTGCATGGGTGGTGGGGGGAGAATCCCTCAGCCTGGCCTGCAACCACTCCAATCCGGGACCCCTCAGGGGATATCTGACTGCCTTTCGCAATCCAGGATTGCTGGCTCCTAACTGCTCACCTGCCTGCCTGATCGCCCCTAACTGCTCCCCTACTGGCTTGATCGCCCCTAACTGCCTCTGCCTCGTCCTGCACCAAGGACCCAGGATTCCCTCCTCTGGCCGGTAGCAGGCACCCAGGACCCAGGCCAGCTTCACCCAGGCTGGCTGCAGCCCCAGGGGACCATGGGCGGGTGGCTTTGCCTGGACCACAGCTGCAGGAACTGGCACCTGGGATTGCTGGGCGGGTTGCTTGTCCCTCTTCTGGGCCAGGCCACAGGCATAGGCACAGCCACTGGGGCCTGGGACCACAGGGTTTGAGGCTTGTCCCTCTCCCAGCCTGCAGCTTAGCTGGTCCCCATTCCTCTCTCTTGAGCTCATTGTGCTTGGCAGTTCCCATTGTTCTCTCTCTGAGTGTCTGAGCTGTTATCATGTGATGGTGTGAGATTGTGATGACCATTTGCAAATTAGCTCTTTATTATATAGGACTAGAGGCCTGGTGCATGAAATTTGTGCACTGGTGTTGGGGGTCCCTCAGCCTAGCCTGCCCCCTCTCACAGTCTGGGAGCCGTTAGGGGATGTCAGGGGAGAGTGGGTCTAAGCCACAGTCTGGCCTCCCTCTCTGGTGTTGTCTCTGCTCCAGCCCCTCCCCAGACTTGGCCTCTCTGTGGCTACTAGGGCTGGGAGAGGCACACAGTCCCCTCTTGCCCATCTATGTGCACAGCTCCTCCTGAGCTAATCATGATGCAGCCTCCTCCTGAGCCGGTCGTGATGTCTTAGCACATGTGTCAAACACAAGGCCTGCGGACCAAATCTGTCCCGCAATGTGGCCCGCACCGCGCTGTCATCACTGCACTCCGCTGCGTTTCCATCACAATGACAGTTTATGATTGTTCATTGTCTGTTCAGTAAACCATTCAATTTGCATATTACCTCCATATATATATGTAAACTTAAAAACTTCTTATATATAAGTATGATCATAGGAATAGAAAAAATTTAAGCAAACATATACTCCATAGAATATACCTTGTGATACAAGTGATTTAATCATTATTATGTTATAATGCACATGTGTCAAACAAAAGGCCCGCGGGCCAAATCCGTCCCGCCAGGCCTTGCAATGTGGCCCACACCGCGCTGTCATCACTGCACTCCGCTGTGTTTCCATCACAATGACAGTTTATGACTGTTCAGTAAACCATTCGGCCCGTGATTTAGGCTGGATTTTAGATTTTGGCCCCTTCTCTGATTGAGTTCGACACCCCTATACTCCATAGAATATACCTTGTGATACAAGTGATTTAATCATTATTATGTTATAATGGAATGATGTATCTTTATATTCCTGATATTTATTATAAATAAAAAGTAATCTGTCTAGCTAACCTGCTGTTACTTATTTTATCCTAGGGGTCTGGTGCATGAAATTCATGCTTGGGGGTGTGTGTCCCTCAGCCCAGCCTGCACCCTCTTCAATCTGGACATACATCCCTCTCACATCCAGGACTGCTAGCTCCCAACTGCTCGCCTGCCTGCCTTCCTGATTGCCCCTAACTGCTTCTGCCTGCCTCCCTCTCTGGTGTTGCCTAACTGCTCCCCTGCCAACCTGTTTGCCCCTAACTGCCCTCCCCTGTAGGCCTGGGTTCCCCCAACTGCCCTTTCCTGCAGGTCCAGTCACCCTCACCTTCTCTCCTCTGCCGGCCTGGTCACCCCTAACTACCCTCTCTACAGGATTGATCACCCCCAACTGTCCTCCCCTGCAGGCCTGGTCCCTCTCAACTGCCCTTCCCTGCTGGTCATCTTGTGGCGGCCATCTTGTGTCCACATGAGGGCAGTCATCTTTGACCACATGAGGGCAGCCATCTTGTGTGTTGGGGTGATGGTCCTTCTGCATATTACTCTTTTATTAGATATGATAGAAGCCTGGTGCACGGATGGGGGCCAGCTGGTTTGCCCTGAAGGGTGTCTAGGATCAGGGTGTGGGTTCCCTTGGGGTGTGGAGTGGCCTGGGTGAGGAGCCTATAGTGGTTTGCAGCCCAGCCATGCCTTCCAGTGATTCAAGCGAAGGCCCTGGTATCTGGGATTTATTTATCTTCTATAATTGAAAATTTGTAGCGTGGAGTGGAGTCCAGGGCTGGTCAGGGTGTGCAGCAAGCTTAGCTTCCTCCATTGCCAGGGAAACCCAAGCCTCCTGCTCACTTCGTGGCCACAGACATCTTGTTTGGGTTGATTTGCATATTCTCTCCTGATTGGCTGGTGGAAGAGGCTTGTGTGTGTAGTGGAGGTATGGCCAATTTGCATATTACTCTTCTATTAGATAGGATACAACTTTTAGAAGTTGCTAGCTTAGCAGTTTGGTAAGACATGCATATATTTCATATTCCATCAATTCTTCATGAGTTAAGATATTTTTCCTACTATTGCTCTTATCATTTGAAATGAGTTTCTTTTTTTAGTGACCTACTAGGCATTATCAATCTCACTAATTATATTCAGCTGTTGTCCTATAGAGAAATCATTTATTACATTGGAAAAGCTACAGTCTTTCTCCACTGAGTGTAATGTTCATGTTGTTGATGTTTCATACATGATTTTATCATATGCAACTAATTTTCTTTAATATTTTATTGAGTGTTTTCATCATGAAAGGCTTTGAATTTTGTCAAAGTTCTTTCTGCATCAATTGAGATGATCATGGTTTTTTTCCCCACTTTATTCTGTTGAGGTGGTATATTACGTCGATCAATTTTGCATTGATGTTCATAAGGGATGTTGGTCTATAGTTTTCTTTGCTTTTTTTCATTAAAAAAATTTAAAGTATTGTATAATTGGCATACAACATTATATTAGTTTAGGTGTAAAACAAAGTGGTGTGACCTTTATATACCTTATGATATGATCACCTCAATAATCTAGTTAACATAATAGGTAAAAATCTCCATTTATAAAATAAGCTGCAGGGATGAAGTGTGCAGCACAGGAATATAGTAAATCATATGGTTTTCTTTGGTATGAAGGTTACACTGGTCTTATTGAATTAGATAGGAAGTATTTCCTCCTCTTCAATATTTTGGAAAGGTTTGAGAAGATTTGGTATCAGTTCTTTCAAACTTCGGTAGAATTTACCCATGAAGCCATCATGTCCAGGGCTTTTTGTTGTTGGGAGATTTTGATTATTGATTCAATCTCCTGACTAGTTATAGGTTGATTCATTTTTCTTTTTTATTTCATGGTGTTTTTAATATATACATATATATATATATGTATATATATATGTATATATATATCTTTATTTAATATATATATATATATATATCTTTTTATTGATTTCAAAGAGGAAGGGAGAGAGAGCGAGAGATAGAAACATCAATGATGAGAAAAAAATGTTGATTGGCTGCTTCCTGCATGCCCCATACTGGGAATGAAGCTCATATGTGCCCTAATCAGGAATCAGACCATGACCTTCTGTTTCACAGGTTGAAGCTCAACCACTTAGCCACACTGGCCAGGCATGACTTTTCTTCATAGATTTTGGGATTCTAGGGATTTGTTCATTTCATCTAGGTTATCCAATTTCTTGGCATACAATCTTATAATCCTTTTTATTTCTGTAGAATCCATTGTAAATGTCTCTATTCTCATGTAAGATTTTAGCAATTTGAGTCTTCTTTTTTTTTTTTTAGTCCATTGAGCTACGTAGTTTTGTCATTTAAAAAAAAATTTTTTTTTTTAGCTTTTCTAAGAACCACCCTTTGGTTTCATTTATTTTCTCTATTGTCTTTTCTATATTCTATTTTATCTTTATCTTTTGTGGTCTTTATTGTTTCCTTCCTTTTGGAAGCTTTAGGTTTAGTTCTTTTTTGAGTTTCTTAGGTTGTGAAGTTAGATTGTCTGAGATTTTTTTCTTGTTTCTTAATGTAAATGTTTATAGCTAAACATTTTTCCCAGCACCATTTTCACTGTGTCTCATTAGTTGTTTTTTGCTTCACTATTCTCTAAATATTTTCCCTTGTGCCTTTTTTTTATCCATTAAAAGTATATTGCATAATTTCTACAAAATATCTTTTTTTAAACTTTTGTTTTTTATTTCTACTTTATCTCTTTATGGACAAAAAAGATACTTTGCATCATATCTATATTTTTAAACCTATTGAAACTTATTTTGTGGCATAATATATGGTCTATACCTCCAAATATAGTATGTGATATTTATGTTATAATACTACATTATAAACTATCCATTAACAATTCTCTTGAGAAATCAAAAGAATTTTGGATCCACATTTCTCCTTATGTTGCCACATTCTTTTCTGGGGGGAAAAAAAGTTCTGATTCCTCAGACAGGTTTGTTTCTGCAAATATAGCAAGATGAGTTATGGAGTATTTAATATGACAGAATAATACTGAGAAATTCAATGTTGTCTCTTGCTTCCTTGGCTATAGAACACCTGGAAGAAAAGAAAATGGTGCAGTTGGTCTGTCCTTGGAGCATGTTGGATAGCATTTGTTATGAGAAGTTTATGGTGACTAATCAAATACTGTATTATTCAAAACTCCCTAACCCAAGGAACTTATAGATACCATCTATGTAACATGTTTGTTAAATTAATCTGTCAATTAATGGGTTCTTTTTGTAATACAACACAATTGAATGAGATGTTTGAGAAAGATGGAGGACAAGAAACACCTGTGAAATCACAACACAGTGAGCTGACTCAATCAGTCCAGGTAGAAGATACATTTTATGAGCCCAGGACACAACTTTAATTATTGTTTTAAGATTATTCATTTATATGCCTGTCTCTGTGTTGAGTCTGTGATCTCAAGACACAGACGTTATCCTATTCTTCTCTTTTTCGTCTGGCAAACAGTAAATACCAAATTTACAGTATGTCTCCACGAATAACTGAGTGAAAAGATGGATGTTTAGTATATAGTGTGTACAGACTTTCTCATTTAGATAGAGCACCTAGACATAGCAAACATGTTTTGAGTAAGGCCATCAGGTCATGAAACAGTGATGGTCTTTGTAAATGATGTGGGGACTGAAGCTCCAGGAAAACAGCTACTGATGTACTGCATCAGGACTTGCTGTGGGATGTGCACGCAATTCAAAGAGCAGCGGTATGGAAGGACCAGCTCTTTGAGCATCGCACATCGAGCGATCCCTTTGAGGTATCAATCACTTAATGCGAAGCCACTGTCACTGTTTATGTCTTCACGTAAACCTTAGTTTAAAATGGCCACTCTCTCCTAAGTGTGTGGTTCAAGGTAAAGTGCTTCTTCAGGTTCAATTTTTCAAGGCGTAAGAAGGAAAATATGTCCACAGACAAAATAAGGAATCCCTTACCCACTTGTTGAAGTTTTATGGAGAGACTGTGTACAGTAGACACATGATTGCCAAGTTTAGGAAAGACGGCAGAGACCAGAGATAAGATTTCATCCGCTACCATGTGTCTCGAAGGGCCATGCTTAGAAACTTGGGGGACCCGGAATGAGAGAGTTAAGGGTTGAGTGGCCATGGATGCTTAGAAATACTGTGCGAACAGAAGACATGTTTGTGCTATGAGACATTAACCTCAAAAGCAGGCTTCTAAAAAATTAACATTTTCCTGAAAGTTTGGGAAGGTAGGTAGTGTAGATAACTGATGACAACGGAAAATATCATTCCACAACATTAAATAAATAATTAGAACAATTTCCTCTCCTTTTTAATTCCTTTAATTCCCTGGAGTTGTGTGCAATAATTTTTTTCTTTTCCTTCTTAAAATATATGTTTTATTGTTGATAGTATTACAAATAGCTCTTATTTCCCCCCAATAATTTCTTTTCCATCCTCCTGTGACCCCACCTCCCAGGCACACTGAGGCCTGTGTACCTCCCAAGGGACGTGAGGACCCTGATGTCCAAGAGAGGAGCCTGAAGTAGAAATGATTTATTTTTTAAGTAATTGCTTCCTGCCATGGTGGGAAGACAGCAAGAGCACTGGAGGGTGGCTGCAGCCCTGGGCCCTAGGTGGAACCCTCCCACAGCTGTGCAATGGGCTGTCAGTAGCGTGGAATCTGCCTCTCTCCCCACCCAGAATCCGTTCTCCTGCCAAAGTCCAGCACCTCAGCGTTGGGAACTCATCCTGCCTGCTTCCAGTCCAAACAGTCCTGAGGGCTGACCCCACGTCTAACGAAATCTATGTCCCAACTTCTGGGTGCTCTGATGGGATCAATAATGAGGAAGTGACTTAATCCAGGTCAAGGCATTTAAACCTGTGACTTTTCATAAGGGAAGAAGAAACTTTCCCTATTAAAATGGATGGTGAGCCTGGCCAGTGTGGCTCAGTGGTTGAGTGTCGACCTATGAACCAGGAGGTCATGGTTCGATTCCCCGTCAGGGCACATGCCCTGGTTGTGGGCTTGATCCGCAGTAGGGGTCTTGTAGGAGGCAGCCAATCAATAATTCTCTCTCAACATTGATATTTCTATCACTTTCTTCCTCTCCCTTTCTCTCTGAAATCTATAATATATATATATTAGAGGCCCAGTGCATGAAATTTGTGCATTGGGGGTGAGGGGGTATGTCCCTCAGCCTAGCCTGCACCCTCTTCAATCTGGAACCCCTCAAGGAATGTTCGACTGCCCCTTTAGGCCTGATCCTAGTGGGATTCTGCCTAAATGGACAGTCGGACATCCTTCTCACAATCTAGGACTGCTGGCTCCCAACTACTTGCCTGCCTGCCTTCCTGATTACCCCTAACTGCTTCTTCCTGCCAGCCTGATCACCCCCTAATCATTCCCCTGTCAGACTGATCAATGCCTAACTGCTCTCCTGCTGTCCCGATTGTCCCTAACTGTCCTCCCCTACCAGCCTGGTCATCCCAGACTGCCTTTCCCTACAGGCCTGGTACCCCCAACTGCCCTCCCCTTCTGACCTGGTCCTCCCCAACAGCCCTCCCCTGCAGGCCTGGTCCCCTGCAACTGCCCTCCTCTGTCAGCCTGGTCACCCCTAACTGCCTTCCCCTGCAGGCCTAATTGCCCCCAACTGCCCTCCCTTGAAGGCCTGGTCCCTCCAACTTCCCTCCCCTGAAGGCCTGGGTTCCTCCCAACTGCCCTTCCCTTCAGGCCTGATCACCCACAATTGCCCTCCCCTGCTGCCATCTTGTGGCAGCCATTTGTGTCCACATGGGGACAGCCATCATGTGTGTTGGAGTGACGGTCAATTTGCATATATATATAGTATATATACTGAGTGTCCAGATTATTATGCATTCAGAGAGTGTATGTGTGTGTGTGTGTGTGTGTGTATTTTAAAGAAACTTATTTAAATAAATAAATAAATGAATGAATAAATAAATAAATAAATAAATAAATAAAATGAATGGTGAGGGGGGCCAGCCTGGCACTGTTGGCATCTGATAAAGGAGTGAGATTGTGTCGATGAATGGAGCAGCCCAAAGACACTTCGCAGGACCAAAGGTTGGAGAGGGACCAGGTCCCACTGCAAGTGTGAGAATCTGGGCCTGCCAGGTCCAAACCCATCCTTTATAAGTATTAATTTATCCCCACCATTTAACCATTTTATTTTACTTTCGTGTGTCCAGTCTCCTGCAGTCGAATAAGTCCTGGCTGACACATCAGAATCAATAATCCCGAAGACTCCCTCTGCATGGAGTCCTTGCTGGGCAGGACGTGGCTGGGGAGATGAAGACTCAGGGTGGGGTCAGATCTTAGGGCAGCTGCAAATCAGCTATGTCCCCGTTCCTTGTCTGCTCTGGGGAAAAAGCAAAACAGCCCAGAACAAAGAGAGGAGAACCAGCAAGGGGGAGAGGCCCCTGGATGGGTAATTTATCTGTTTGCATTTTCCTTATGTTTAGAGTCTATTTTGACTCTGGCTCCTTAGACCACTCGGCCATCCTGACACATTAGGGTCTATTTTATTAATGCTTATTTTTTAGTAGGAGATTACCCATTTCCTCTAGGCTTCGATTTTGATGCAATAGGCTTCTGTTGCTTTACTTTAATTTTTTCTCTCTTTTAAATTAATTATAACTTGCTATAATTAATGAGTAAATATTGATTCATTATTATGAAATAAAGTCTCTATTTTATTCGGGTTCCCACCACAGTCAAGGTTCAGTTTTAGTTCCGGTGCCTCGATCTGCTAAAGCCCTCACAGATCATCCAATCAGAGAGGTTAGTGCTGACAACTGGGGTGCCTGGCAGCTGGATTGGAGTGGCATGATAGGAAATGAGATCAGGTGAAGAAACTGGGGCCTGATACAGTGTCAAGGCTTGCGGTAAAGGTGGCAGCATAGCTAAATGTGATACATCAAAATTACAATTAAACTCTAAAACAACCATCATTGAGAATGACCCAGTTTAGCTGAACAGAAGTCCTATAACTAAGATATACAGAAACCATCAAGACTGGTAGGAAGGGCGGAGAGGTGGCTCACGTGTGGCAGGTAACTTTGGGAGGGCTATCTCGGCTGCAGAGGTCCCCCGCTGGAGGAGAGAGGGGTCCCAGCACTCCCTCAAGCACTGCAGCCCAGGTGTCCAGCACAGGGAAGAGAAGTCCCTGTAACTTCTGGCTGTGAAACCAGCAGAGATTTCTGCTGAGACAAAGCGCTGCTAGAGACCCAGGCATTCCTCTTAAAGGGCCCACACACAGACTTACTCGGACTCACTCACTCTGAGTTCCAGTGCTGGAGCAGCAGTTTGAAAGGCACCAGAGGCCTCTGGGAAGAACTGGGTTGTCTGGCTTCAGAGTGAGGGCTGGAGGGACAGCTTTCTCCCAGACAAAAGTGCTGGCACAGGCCATTGTTTCTTTGCTGAGTCCTCCCTCACAGAGCCAGCAGATGATTGCCTTATCTGAGTCTCCTTCAACCTAGCTAACACTATTTGCCTTGCCCTGGTCTGGATTCTCATTTTATTTTTTAAAAAAATCTTTATTGTTGAAAGTCTTACTAATGCTCCCCACAACCTCCCTCTTCACCCCCCACCAACCCCCACCCTTGACCCCTGTCAGCTTGCCCCTGCCCTGGGTTCTCATTTTAATGCAGAATGGGCAGAGCACCCTAAAGCAAGAAAATGCTCTTCTCTGCTGCCATCTTGTGTGCATCTTGGGAATAACACCGGAGTGGAAATCACCAGGAAGAGATCTTCTCTATTGTCATCTAGTGGTCATTTTGGGAATAACATCAGAAGTCACTGCTGCCATCTAGTGTGCATCTTATGAACAACAACTGAGTGAGGAAAAGCTCTTTCCAAAGGCTTCTGAGCCCATTGAGGAAGGAATGCGACTTAGGGCCGCGCCACAGATATGATCAGCTGCGCCCTGGAAGGTGCCCACTGGAACGTGGAGTTCTCACGGTGAACCCTGATGCAGAGCTTGGCCCACCACCAACTCCCGTCTTGCCTGGCTTTTACCTATGCATGCCTGCGCCACCCTTCCCTCTTGGCAGAGGTGGTCCTGGGAAAAGGTGGGCGAGGTGAGTCCTGGAGATGGTTTCTGGCTCCAGCCAGCTTGTGAGGGGCAGAGGGGTTCCTGAGGAAAGGCGGAGTAGAGACCTGGGGTGAAATATCCCCGGCGGATCCATGCCCAGGTTGCGCGCTCCATCCCCAGTAAGGGGTCATGTAAAAAGCAGCCGACCAATGATCTCTCACATCACTGTTTCTCTCTCTCCCTTTCCCTTCCTCTCTCTCTAAAACCAATTAAAAAATATTTTTTTAAAAAGAAAAAGATGTTTCTAATAAACTACTTGCAAATTACATTCAGCACAGTATTCTTTCCTTGAATGGAACTGATGTCCATTCTGCAATGTTTAGTGACATCGTTCACAACTCTGTGATAACAATGTTTCTTTATCACAATATGCTTTTAATATGTTTTCATAGATCTTGAATGTATTATGAATCCTATATAATAAAGAGATAATGTGCAGATTGACCCTCATGCCCTCGTACAAGACAGCTGCCCCATGTGGTCAAAGATGGCCACTACAAGACAACCAGCAGGGAGGACAGTTGGGGGTGATTGGGCCTGTAGGAGAAGGCAGTTGGGAGCAACGAGGCTGGCAGAGGAGGGCAGTTGGGGGTGACCAGACCAGTAAGGGAGGACAATTGGGGGCAACCAGGTCAGCAGAGGAGGGCAGTTGGGGGTGATTAGGCTAGCAGGGGAGGGCAGTTGGGGGCAATTGGGCTAACAGGGGGGCAGTTAGGCGTCGATCAGGCTGGCAGGGAAGTGGTTAGGGAATGATCCTGCTGGCAGCTAGGCGAACAGGTGGGAGCCAGCAGTTGCAGATTGTGAGAGGGATATCTGACTGCCACAGGGATTGGGCCTAAACCGGCAGTTGGACATCCCCTGAGGGGTCCCAGATTGGAGAAGATTCAGGCTGGGCTGAGGGACAACCCTCTCCCCCAGTGCACAGATTTCATGCACCGGGCCTCTAGTGTATCAATAATACTCTTTAAACACTAAACACAACAAATTAACAATCTCTATTAGCTTATACTAGCTACCTGTTTACAGAAAGGATCCAATGTACTGGCATGTACTGGATATTTTTTTGTGTGTGAGAGTAAGAGTGTACTATTACATTTATGTTGTTATATATTCAAAATGTAATATACATAGACCAACAGATTAGTCTGAAATTTCACTTTGAAATCAGAGACAGTAATTCTATAAATATAATATAATACTCTTGGTTAATTCAGTGGATTGAAACTTAAGAGAATTTTTTCATTGTTGATTTTATGTAGTAAATTGTTCAAACCCATAGCAGAATTGTATATACAGTGGTATTATAATTCTGCACCTAAATGTACTAAGCCAAAGTGTTACTGGGGAGACAATGCAACCTTGATTCATGTCTTCTAGAAGGACAGATTTCACAAGAGACAAAGTACGGCAAAGATAAGTAAGAATTCATTGGCCACAGCAAGAATATACTCAGGTCGAAACCGGTTTGGCTCAGTGGTAGAGTGTTGGTCTGCGGACTGAAGGGTCCCGGGTTCGATTCCGGTCAAGGGCATGTACCTTGGTTGTGGGCACATCCCCAGTAGGGGGTGTGCAGGAGGCAGCTGGTTGATGTTTCTCTCTCATCGACGTTTCTAGCTCTCTATCTCTCTCCCTTCCTCTCTGTAAAAAATTAATAAAATATATTTTAAAAAATATACTCAGGACAGTGACACAAGGAAGGGCATGGAAGAAGCAACAGGAGGGCCCAGGTGGGGCTGCTTTAGTTCACTAAGTCAGAGAAAAGGGGGCCTTGGAGACAGGTTTGGGGGATGAGCCCAGGACAGGTTGCCGCTGCCCACTGCTCCCCTGGTTGTGAGTCTCCTGGGAGGAAGGGAATGGTGTGGGCATGCTCCTCCGGGGGAGGGCGTACCTAGGTCCTTCATCCTGAGTGTATTTCTCTCTCTCTTGCCGGTGGAAGTCATAGGAAAGGTCTCAGGAGAATGTCTCAATAGAATATGCATCATCTGTTCAGGTGTGCTCTTTCAGGGTCGAGGTCTCCGCTGACTGGTTGGTGCCAGAGCTGGAGTCATTAGTCACTGCAGCTGGTCCTGAGGCAGCCATGGCGTCCCTTGTCTGGTTTTGTTGCTCTTCTGTGCCTGGAGCTGAAATATAACTGGGTCCTAGATGTTACCTTTAGGGAGGGAAAGGTCAGGGGGAGTCTAAGCCATATGACTAGCCACATAAAACGTCAGGGGGTCCAAACTGCATGACTAGCGATGTTAAGGAAGGATAGGTTACCCTGGGGTGAGGTTCTTCATTTTCCCAGTGTGGCCCCTTGCTAGGCATCTGGGGCTTTCCGCCCTGGGAAGTTTCTGTACCAGCCAATCGTCTACTGAATTATCAAATCCGGCCTGTAAGATCTTTTGTGCTAAAAAAAAATTGTTTTGGACAGAAAGGGGCCACATCCTAAACTTGACAAGTTCAGGGAGGCCTATGGGCGGCCTTACAAGCTCAGAGACCAAATAAACACGTAGGACGGTCTGAAATTAAAACTTCTTTAAAAAGATGGTCCCTGGTGATTGTCATGTCCTAAGGCAGTTATTTTTCCCTAACAAATTAAGGTCCATCTTTACCTTAATTAATCCTGTCTGTTATCTTTTTGCATCTAGGGTAACATACTTGCCTTTGTAAAAAAAAAAAAAAAAAAAGTAAATAAATTAAAAAAATCCCCTTTTCCGACACCTCAAACAGCAGAGACAACCAATCCCCTCGTTAACACTGTTATCATGTTACTTGCTGACTGTTAACTATCCTACGCCTACTTCTGTAAAAGAGATATGGGGCCATCGTTTTACTTACTATGCAATCCCAGAGAAACCCTCACATTGCTCTCTCCCACCTCCCTAATCTATCACCAACAGGTTTCATGTAAACAGCTCATGTCTTCCCTTTTGAGTGTAATGTATGAAGCAGGGTGCAGAACTGCCATTTTCTTTTTTCTTTTTGTTATTTTTGTAATGATTTGTTTTATTTATTTAATTATTTAAAGTATTACAAATAGTGGTACATATGTCTCCTTTTCCCCCCCTATTGACTTCACCCCTGCCTCCGCCACCTTTCCCCGCCGCCCCCCCCCCACACACACCCTCACCCCCTCTCCAGTGTCTTGTGTCCATTGTTTATGCTTATATGCATGCAAACAAGTCCTTTGGTTGGTCTCTTACTCTCCCTCCCTCACCCCCCAACTCTGGTGCCTTCCGGCTGTAGTTTGACAGTCTGTTCCATGCTTCTTTGCCTCTGAATCTATTTTTAAGAACTGCCATTTTCTTGAGCATTTTCTCTGTTTGTTAAGGTTTTGCTTCCCGGCAATTATTGTCAAGTTTGGCTCACATAGACTCACAAAAATTCTCCACAGGTTTAAACATTTCTTACATTAACAATGGGAAAGTCACAATTAGGGCCAAATCTCCAAATCCTAAATCAGTTGCAATTGTCCAAGTGAATTCAGCTCTCCCATTAAACATTTTATTTTAAACACTCTCCAAAAGTTTGAGGACCCCAGCTGCTTTGGAACCTGGGAAAGGGGCAAGAGAGCAGGAAGCAGACTTACCTACAGCTCGCTACTCAGCTTCCCAGACACACCCTGACTATGGTTTGCCCTGGTGCCCTTTGGGGTGCTATTTGAGGGACTTATTAGTTTAAAACCATTTGAACGGCTTAAGTGTCTATAAACACAACTGGAGGACCTTTTTCAATTAAATTCAAAATATCGTGGCAGTTAACTGGTTAAATGTTGGACTAAGCAGTTTATATACCGTGTTTCCCCAAAAATAAGACATCCTCCGAAAATAAGAGCTACTTACAGGTTTCCTTCTGAGTGAAATATAAGGCATCCCCCCGAAAATAAGGCCCCCCCAGGCTTTGTCTCAGAATGCTATTGCTAAACATGAGAGATTTGGTTCACTGATTCTAAAAGAAATGGAGTCACAAGAAATTCACCAGGAAATTCAGGAATTGGATTGTTATGATGATGTTTCAGAAGATGACGACATGATTGTCATTGAATAAATGAGTAAATTCTTGATAGTGTAGGATTCACAGTTTGTCTGATTTGTGTTGACAACTACTGTACTACCATACCGTATACAGGTAATAAATTTCCTTTATTTTCATTTAACAATAAATGTGTACCATATTCTTCTTCATGGAAAAATAAGACATCCCCTGAAAATAAGACCTACCACATCTTTGGGAGCAAAAATTAATATAAGACACTGTCTTATTTTCAGGGAAACAGGATAGGTCTCATGAATTTCCTACTCATTTTACTTAAAAAATATATATTTTATTGACTTTTTACAGAGAGGAAGGGAGCTAGAGAGCCAGAAATATCAATGAGAGAGAAATATTGATCAGCTGCCTCCTGCACACCCCCCACAGGGAATGTGTCCACAACCAAGGTACATGCTCTTGACCAGAATTGAACCTGGGACCACTAAGTTCACAGGCTGACGCTCTATCCGCTGAGCCTATCGGTTAGGGCCCTACTCCTCATTTTAAATGATGGTATTTTCTGTCACCTGTTCCTAATACCTCCAAGCCTTTGTTAAACCCTGGGCATACTGTTTAGTCAACTAAAGCATTATCATAATTGAAGACCCATAATAGAAGCAGGCAACATGACTAAATGCTGTACCCCTAATTTTTTAACAAATGAGTTTATGATTTAAATCATCTTCATGCTGTACTTTGAAGTGGATTTTATGGAGGTGACTCAGGTGAAAAAAAGAATAGGGAATAGAGCTGATGCTGTGTTGTGCGCTCAGGTCCCCAGAGAACTAAAGGGTTTATTCAGAGTGCTGCCAGAGGCTATCCCCAGCTGTCAGTCCTCTTGGGAACTTATGGCGGGAGAGCATCCTTGTCCCACTATGGGTCCCCTATGAGCTTGGAATAGTCACCGAGGCCTTCCTGTGACTGTTTGCATAACTCCCAATGCCCAATCTTGCTCCTTTTACTTTCTTCACAGGTGCTGATCCCAGAGCACTCCTTAATGAACTTCATGCATGCTAACACTTTCTCAGATTCAGTAAAAGGGAACTGGACCTACAGCAAAATCATAGCTGCTCTGCTTTTACCTTTTATTCTATCATCTGTCTCTATCTATCTATCTATCTATCTATCTATCTATCTATCTATCTATCTATCATCTATCTATCTATCATCTATCATCTATTTATCATCTATCTATTTTTGGTTAATCCTCACCTGAGAATATTTTCCCATTGATCTTTAAGAGAGAGTGGAAGAGAGAGGGGAACTCAGAGAGAAACATTGAGGTGAGAGAAACACATCGATTGGTAGCCTCCTGCACACAACCCCTTCAGGGCTCAGACTGGGGAGGAGCCTGCAACCTTGGTACGTGCCCTTGATCAGAATCGAACCTGGGACCTTTGGTCTGAAGGTTGACACTATCCACTGAGCCAAACCAGCTAGGGCTGCTTTTATCTTTTATATATAGTGGACAGTCATGTAAGATTACACTTAAAGCAAACTAAACTAAAAACTTTGAAAGTCACTGGTCTCACAATATGAAAAATTATCAGTATGGTTTTGTGCATGGCCAATTTATCCAATTTATTTAATTGTTCCAAATCAACATCTAAGGAGTGTGTTTTTTTCTATGCAATCGTTTCTTCTTAGCCTTTTTGTTTGTGTTTACACATATACTCATGTGATTTTTAAAGATGAAATCCATTAAATAATAAACTCAAGAGTATGTTTAAAAATATTTTTATTGATTTCAGAGAAGGGAGAGGGAGAGATAGAAACATCAATGATAAGAAAGAATCATTGATTGGCTGTCTCCTGCATGCCTCACAATGGGAATCGAGCCCACAACCTGGGTATGTGCCCTGACTGGGAATCAAATGATGACCTCCTGGTTCATAGGCAGATGCTCAACTATGGAGCCACACCAGCCAGTCACGAGTATTTTTGATATTACATAAGTGAAACCAGTAACATATATGACAGAAGCAATCATGACAGACCAGAAAAAGGCCTTCAATAAATTTCACATATTCTCAAATATTTCACCCAATCCTACCTGATCTGCACCCCCAAATTCTTCTCAAGAGTTTGTCTTAAACTAATTTGGAAGTAAATAAATTAATGAATATATAGAATTTTCATTCCTCTGTTGTAAAAGTTCTCACATTAAAAATAGAGCATCACAAGCAAGAATATAATGTAAATTAATGCTCTAAGAAACAACAACAATGCCTAGGAGTGATGGAGTGTTAATTTTAAAAATACATTTATCATGTTTTATTTGTTGTGTTTTTTCAGTATTTTTCATTTGCCATGTAATATTTCTTAAAACTTCCTTAAATTAATCTCAATTAAAAGTTAGTATGGTGGAACTTTGGCAGAAGTATATTCAAAGTCACAGCTAGTAACCTTCCTAGTTTCTGTTGTTGATGTAATGACATTCTGTAGCCAAATCTACACAGAATTCTGGTATTCAGACCAGTCTGAGAACTTCTTGGTTTTGATGCTAAATTTTAGGCCACTTAATTTTCTATTTCTATAAATATTACATAGTAATAATCTTTAATATCTTTTGGGAATGTTGCTATATTAGAAGCATCACAATTATGTCAAAGGAAATGTATTACGTTACCAGCAATTATAATAAAATTTATCTAATTATGAAAAAAAAATAGAGCATCAATTAACTAGCCTCTTGTAATACAAAGGCAAACCAATAACAAAAAAGGTTAATGGTCTTATGATAAAAGCTACTGTATTCTGTACTAGCAAGGAAATTTCCAACTCACTAAGCTGGGAATAGGTTAAATGATAAGATTTAGCTCCTGCTCTGGGTTTTAGCAGGCTCCTGAAGCGCTCACTTAATAATTCTAACTCACACAGCAGTCAGGAAGAAATGCCGCTGGATCCAGAGTTTGATCTCAGTTTGGGTGTTCCTACTACATTACTGCCTGGGAAGCCGCCCACCCCTCAGCCTCGGCTTTCTGCTCCAGCAGGACGGAGGAGGAAAATAAATGAGCTCTGTTCACTCTCAAGGTGTGTTGCTGCTCTGGCAATTTCCAAATTTGACGTGGCAGCAATGAACTGTTAAGTAGAATATGATCTATGCAGTCAGAAGAGAGACTCAGAAGGCAGAGTCTGACAAAATATTACTTATTAGAATAACAAAATACTTTATGTACATGTTATTTAGCATATATTATCTGGGCTACTAACACATTGTAGTAGTGAGATTATTTTGCATACTAAAATAGCAAACTTACTTGAGAATTCTTGCTCACAACGTCTAAGTTTTTTAAAATATTAAAATTTAGTAGATAAAGGTCTATTAAAAATACTGGGAAAAAATATGAAATTTAGGTAGCATCAGTGACCATAAGCATTTTAAATGATCCTTTCTAGAGAAATAGTGATTCCATCAAGTACAACATTGAAAATACATTTTATCAAGGAGAAGGGATTAAGAAGCACAAACTAGCAGCTATAAAAATAGTCACGGGGATATAAAGTCAATTATATTGTAATAACTATGTGTGGTGCCAAATGGGTACCAGATTATCAAGGTGATAACTCCATAAGTATGTGAATGTCTAATCCCTATTTTGAACACCTGAAACTAATATAATATTGTACATTAATGATAATTGGAAAATTAGAAAAAAAAATTCAAAAGAGAATACATTTTCTCCTAAAAAATGTAAGTATATGGTAGCAAATCACATGTGTCAAACACAAGGCCCGCGGGCCAAATCCATCCCGCCAGGCCTTGCAATGTGGCCCGCACCGCGCTGTCATCACTGCACTCCGCTGCGTTTCCATCACAATGACAGTTTATGACTGTTCAGTAAACCATTCGGCCCGCGATTTAGGCTGGATTTTAGATTTTGGCCCCTTCTCTGATTGAGTTCGACACCCCTAATCAAAATGAATAAACATTATAAATGGTAACATGTATTTATTTTCTTTATGTACAATATATACATATATATTTTTGGAGTCAAAGATCTCTACTGTACAACCAGCTC